AGCGATTCCGATTATCGGCAACGAGCGGTAAATTTACCGATGAAAAAGGCTTCTAACGTCGGTCCTCGAGCTTACGCGATAGATACAGTTGGCTCGAAACGAGCCACGAGACGTTATTTTAAAGCGTAGAATTTCTACCCTCCAAGCAATTTGGAAAGGAAAACGAGCGACTGGTTTCTTCGTCTATATAGAATAGACGCTTCTTTTCTTTTACCCTCTTTGCTCCACCCCTACGTTTATGCCACCTTGTCTTCAAAGCTCGTCCCAGTAATTCTCCCCTTTTCTGACGCCTCGATTTGTCAAAGGTATTAATCGTAAAAGCGATAACGTCGTTGTTCCTGCTTTCGCGTATAACAAACTACATCGATATAGCGTGCCCACGAATGTCGCGCGTTAACCAGAGAAACTTACTTATTTTACGTGTTTCCAAAGATCCCTACAACTGCACTTTCTGGATAAGCGAAAGTAAAGGGAAAAGAGAGAGAGGGAAAGAAAGAGTGAGAGGAAATTAGGTGGATGAAGAGAGACGCAGAGGAAAAGAGAGAAAGAGAGAGGAACGACACAGGAAGCGCATCAAAACTTTCACTTTCCCACACGTTATCCAATTATCTCGGTTATTCAGATAGTACTCGTAACGTCCTTAATTATTCGTCTCAGAAGAGGAGTGCCCAGTCACCATCCCGTGCAAAAAGGCCGACGCGACGCGACGTCTTCCGCTGAATATATATATATATATATATATTTAACGTGCGCGATTTCGACAATTTTTATGAAACTTTTATAAAGAGCCTGCGTCGAAGTGAGAAAAATTTAGCATCTATGTAGGAGGAATACGGCAAGAAAAGTCGCGCGTGTACGATAGCATTACTTTCAGAGAATAACGAGCGTATGGCGTGAGCAAATTCATCGTGAAAAATGATTTAACTAACGCATCGTGATAAGTACAATAGCTCGTAATGCTAGCGAGAAATTGGTCAAGTCGTTTAACGATAATATAAAATAATAACGGGTCACCTTCATCGTTTCTCGTTACAAGGCGAATTTGTCGTTCGAAGATAAATGTTTGAGCGAGGGGTTCGCAAGCGGCATGCTTCACACGGCGAGTCTTCTTTCGTTTCTCTCTGTCCACCATCAAAATTCCGCTCGTACGAGCGTATATGGAACAGTAAAAATATAGGAAAACGTTTCCGACATTCACAGCTATGTTACCAATCGAGAGGAGACGTTTTTCTCGTACGGGCGAAAGAATTTTCAACGAGTTGAAAAAGAGAGAGAGAGAGAGAGAGAGAGGAAAGAAGAGAAGCAACTGCAAGAGATTCCACTCCGACGGCGGAGACGAGACAGGAAGCAGTCTGATGCACTTCTTGCAGCTGCGCGCGACGTTTACGCTCCTATTCCGGAAAGCGTTTTTTTTCCTCTACCTTTTTCTCTCTCTCTCTCTCTCTTTCTTCATCTTGTAACTTTGCCTACGTACACGCACTCGAGAAACTCTCGAAATAAATGTCGCGTTTCGAGCGTGTTTGAAGAAACGTTTACGCGGAGCCCCGGGGAAACGATAAAGCGCAACGTCGTGAGAATACTTTCTTTTCTCGCTGTAAAGATAGAGACGAGTAGGTCGCGTGCGTATACGCGCATCAAGGGGACCGACTCTAACTTCTTACTCTTTTTCTCTCCCCTTTCAGTAGGGTAACCTCGAAGAAAGCTTTTCATCTCTTTTTTCTTTTTTCACGTACTTAATAAGAACGTTCGCCGATTCGATACATCTCGGATATATCGGATATATACCTACTTAGAAAAAATTTGCAAGAAAAAACAGAGAATTCGGTAAGGTTGAAATTTTTCTGCATAACTTATTTTATATATATATATATATATATATATATATATATATATATATCATTCAACTTTTTGGGCTATCCTGCAAGACCAAGATGAGAATTCTCTTCTCGCGAAGGGAAGCCAATTAACGAGCAAGCTCGACGAGAAGTTTCGCTCGTCGTTCTACGTGGATCGATATACGGAGCATGAAAACACTGGGACAAGCTGAAAGTCCAGAATCGAAGGAGCGTACTTTGTAAAGTGTAATGAGGAAAATCGCGAAACAAATAAGTTGGAGAAGTTCGGTAACCTTGACCCCCTATTAAGTCGGCCAACGGTAGATGCGAAAACCTCCCGTAGAATTTCACCTCTTATACCGCGTACCATACCGATAATGCATCGTCAAATATTCACGTTTCTTCTTTACAAAGCGTTAACTATCTAAGAAAAATCAACGAGTATCTACGAATCGAGCGAATCAATTTTGGAACTAATAGCTTGACGATCTCTTGACTGCATTCCTCTTTCTCCTTTCTCCTTTCTCCTTTCTCCTTTAATGGTAAAACGTTAGAGCGAGGGAGAAATAAGAGGAAAAAATTTACGAAACTTGTACGTAGGTAACTCCGAGAAAGGTTTCAAGGGAGAGAGAGAGAGAGAAAGGCAAAGGGCTGCACGATAAATCTCCGACGGTGGAAGGAAAATGGCGTAAGTTGTATAAAGGAGCAAACCGTTTGATCACCGACGAGAAAAGTTATGCAATTTACCAAACGTTGGCACGAGACCATCGTCCCTCCTTTTTTGCCTCTAGCACGGACTCAATAATCTACCTCTTTCTTCCACACTCTAGCTTCGCATCTTTGGAAGATTTTCTTCTCGCTCGAAAATTCCTGATCTCGACGAATCAATGATCGAAAATATCCCGGATACGTTGGGAAACGAGAGCATGGATTTCTTTCTTGAAAATTGAAAGTGTTTCTCCTCTCATTATTCAATTTCCTCGATATAAAGTTTAACTTTCTATTTTATCGCATCTTTCAGACGTCACAGCGCTATACTAACTCGCTCGTTCTACCTTTAGCCTTCGACGCGGCTAATTAATTTTGTATCGCGATTTAACGGAACTTTAGTAGAAGCGAAAACTGAAATTTTCCAATCTTCAACAAAGAGCCAAGCGCTCGACGTCGCGCGAAGAAGTTGGCTGATTTTATCGGGGGTTAAGTCTTCGCTGAGTTATTCGATGATATACCTATATTGAACTAACCCTTTTATCAAGTCAACAAGGAAGCGATCGAATAATCGATGAGTCGAGAAAAGAAAAAAAATTAGGTGGAAACATTTGATAAGATGCAACCCAATAGCGATCGAGTCGATTGAATTTTTATTATATTTTAACGAAGAGAACGAAGGGATTCGTTGAAGAGGAATCTGTGCGAGCATAAATATATACGAATGAGATGAGAAATATAGAACGTTCGAATAAGAATTAGCGTCTCGGCGGAACTTTTCTCAAACGAAGTCGATTCTTCGAAGACGACAAACGTTGGAAAGGATGCAAATATCTAAGGAATTTGAGAGAAAAATGAGAGAAAAGAAAGTCGTTCGTCCGTTCATAAGTTCGCCTGAAAAGCGTAAAGTGGGTACTCCGTGACGAGGAATCGTCAAGCAAGATAAAGTTAACACTATAAGAACCCGTCAAATTGGACCCAAGAGATACGTCTCCGCAGAAGAGGATGCGCGAGGAAATGAGAATCGTAAGAAACATGAAAGTTTGAAAAAGCATCGAGGAAGAAGCATCTCCGTTCTCTTTATCGTCATTTTCCCTTTGAAAGAAAGTATTATATTCGTCGCATGGAAAATATTCGACTTTCCGTCGTATGAGACTCGAGTAAACTTTTAATTTCGGTAAAACGCTCGTCGCAAAAGGACTCTCGAACGAAGTACATGTAACGTATAAAGAGACGAGTATACAAAGAAGTGACGTATCCACGTTGGTGACAATTATCCGAACAATAGCAGAAGCAGAGGATTTTTATTTTCGCGCTTTTTCTCGGAAAGAGTAATCGTTACCGTCAGCGATCACGATGCCCGCGGACACCATGGGGAAAAGAAAAAACGAAAAAAAAGGAAAAGGAAAAAAAAAGAAAATCTACTTTTGTAAAGTGATCGAGTAAATGCTGGCTCGCGATGAAACGTGCATATTATTCTCGCATATGTACAAGTATGTACGTCAAATGCAATATGCGCCGACGCCCGATATAATAACGCTTATAAATACATTTTATCTAGCGACCTTATACCAACTTTGTTTTATCTCGAAGCGCGTGATCGCATAATGCATCCTTTCGCTTCCTCCCGTTATTCATCTCGGTCGCCGATGCGTCAAACAATTATTCTAAAGATATTTATCGATTGAAATTAAATTCCAAAAGTTTAGAAAGAGCACCGACGACTTGTTAAAAGGTAATCTCATAAAGAAAGAGAAGAAGTGATTAACACGGGGCTAAGTTCAAACGCGTTGACACGTTAATATTATTTACGAACCAAAATGGCTCAGGTAGACACAAATGTATCGCGACTAGGTATCCTCGTAATTAACCGCACACGGCATAATATTACGACCGGTGTCTCTGACGTCAGTGCGACCGGCTATTATACTTTTTTTTGCTTTTAGCAATCTGGAAACACTCGAGAATCGTGCTCGTTACGAGGCCAAGTATTAAAGAAGCGACGTCGTTTGTACCAGCCGGCTATCTCGTTCGGAACCTCGTAGCTAACGCGAAAGGCCAAACTCGAATAAAGAGTTTCGAATAAAAGAAAAAAGATAATCGAAGTATAAGGTCGATAACATCAAATTGGTAGGTCTGCTTTTGAATAAACAAAGATAGAAGATAGATGGAGTCTAGAAGGGTAAACGTTAAAGAGTGCAGGAGCATCGAAGAGAGTAGAGGAGAAAGAGAACAAGTCGGAGGAAAGAGGGATTGATTCGATGAGCCGAGGGTAGTAAGCGAAGGTGCGAGGAACGGCATGGAGAAGGACATAGGCCACATCGTGGAAGGAGTCGGAGAAGAAGAAGAGGACGAGGACGAGGACGAGGAGGAGGAGGAGGAGGAGGAGGAGGAAGAAGAAGAAGTAGACGAAGAAGATGGTGGGGATTGCTGGTGAGGCGGTAGACGCGCGGCGACCAAGAAGAGAAGCAGCAGAAGGAGGAAGAGAAGGAGGTGGAGGCTGAGTGATCGGCGGAGTAGAGAGAGAGAGGACGCCTGCGCGGAATCCCCGGGCGGGCGCGGGCAGTGCCACCGGAGGCCCGGCGGTTTCAGAGCTTCGCCCGGGACGACGAACCGCAGACGACCTGTACGCAAAACTCGGCCGTGCGTTATCCGGAGGCTACGCTGCCCTCCGTAAGTGTATAAACGAGGAAGAAAGAAAAAAAATATAAAGGGTTCGAGAGATCTTTCGCACGACGAATAAGAATTTAGAAACAACAGAGACTCGGCTCGTTTTTTTTCTCGTGTCGAATATTAGCAACGGCAACGTATCGTTTACGCGACATAACATAATATGTGATACAGTGTCGTCGCAAAGGTGCCAATTGGATAAGGTAGAAAACTTTTTCATTAGAGTTGAGGAAACGAAAGAGAGAAAGAATATTACGAGAAGGTGTCGCTGCCGGTGGAGATTTGTAAAGGCTGTGGAAAGAGAAAGAGGAAGAAGAAAGACATGAACGACGTCTGGTAGCGACACCGACTGCGGAGAACGAACGCGGTGAGATGACGAAGGATTAGGAGAAACTGAAAGAAAGAGAACGAGAGAGAGAGAGAGAGAAAGAGAGAGAGAAAAGCATTGAACGCGCGCGCGAGCAATACAGAGAGAGAGAGAGAGAGAGAGAGAGAAATAACAGGCTAGAGAGTGGCGTGGTGCACCAGGACGGTGTGGTGCGCGCTGTGAGATGTCAGTTGACCATCAGTCGAAGACATCCACGTTGTCGTCGTCGTCGTCGTCGCCGTCATCGTCGTCGTCGTCGTTGTCGTCGTCATCATGAGGAGATCCTCTTACGTCAACTATTACGTCCTGTGCCTCGTCTGTTGGATCCTTTTGGGTATTACCGGTAAGATTGAAAAAAAAAACGAAGGATCGAGAGGACGATCGATGGAAATGGGTGGAGATGAATCAAATTACGACCTTCCCTTATAAATCTCGTGAACGCAAAGAGGACAGAATTCGAAGATCTCTGGATTCGTATGGCTAAGATAGAAAAGAGGAAGAGAGAGAGAGAGAGAGAGAGAGAGAGAGAGAGAGAGGGAGAGAGAGGGAGAAGTTGGTGCTCGGGTGGTGGATCGATCGGATTTTCGGGTGTAGCTGTGTTGTTGTCTCCGTGCGCGTCGCGTGCATACGTTCTCGCGCGTTTTCTCACGCGTGTCCGTCTTTTATCATTCATCACCACTACCATCACCATCTATCTCCATCTCTTTTGTTCGTCTCACTTTCGTTTCGAGTACTTTTTCAGACAATGAGAGATTCGCATGAACACTCGAGATCTATGATCCTTTTAGGATCGAAAGAAAAAAAGGAGGAGTCGAGAATATCGAAAAGACTAGGAGAGAAAAGTAGGGACAAGAGAACGCGAGGGAGGTTGGTTCCGGACCCGGTCCAGGATTGTATCTAGCGCCACCCTTGTTTGTCGCGCCGCGGCATTGTAAGTCGCCCTCCTCCTCTTTGCGCCCTCCCTTACACCCTCCATCTCTCTCTCTCTCTCTCTCTCTCTCTCTCTCTCTCTCTCTCTCTCTCTCTCTATCTATCTATCTATCTATCTATCTATCTTCTTTCTCCGGTTTTCTTTTTCTTCCCATCCTTCTTATTATCCACATCTTTTTATCTTCGATCTCTTCTGCATTTTTCTCTCTTTCTCTCCTCCCCCGTGGGGTTACCGTGTCGACGAGATGATTCCATCGTCGGGGGCGGAGAGACTCTTTCTTTTCCTATCTCGTGACGTCGTTCACGAGCGCGTATATCGATTCCACGTTTTCGCTGCATCAACCCCGATGCAGTTGGATTTTCGAGCTATTTTTCGACCTCGCTACGACCTGTCTAGTTACATTAAAATCGATTCGGATGTATTTTTCATCTCGCCCGTTGTCTCTTTTGGAAGACCCGTTTACTCTTTTATCTCGATGGCGCGAACTTTCTAGACGTTCGTTCGACTCCCTTAATAATTTCCTTGACCCCGCTAATCGCTTGTTTACTAATAATGATAATAATAATTTAAAACAAAAATATTTATATATCTATTCATCCTTTCGTTCGTTACATCGATCGCGATGCAGTCGAACTAGGGGAACTTTATTCCCTTACGTGTATTTCGATATTGCCGTACGTCGTCGCTATGACATTCTTGTCGTCTAAAGGTTACGCAAAGTTGCTTGCAATTTTATTTGCACGCTCGTCCCAACATCGAGAATTTTTCTAACGAGGCAAACGCGTACAATGCTTTCGCACCAATGAGATGACAATGCTCTCGTCTTTTTTCCCCTTTCTTCTTTCACCATTGTAAAGTATCGAACGACTTTTTACGTTGATCTTTCGATGTCTTTCAACGTAACTATGATTCAGAATACTCGGCGATTATGGATGGCGAACGAATGCGTCAATGAAACTTATTTCTCAATTCTGATCTAATGCATGAAGGATTGTCATTCTGTTAAATAGAAAGAAAACGACTCGAGTATAAAAGAATGATTTATCGAGTTAACTCGGAAATACTCAATAACGAGATTTTCTCTCTAGCTTAGAATTTCTTCTGGTATATATACCAGAATATCGTCAAATTTCCATTTGGTTTATTCGTCGATAAATCGATAATAGTTGGTAAGACGTTTATCGGATCCATCTTACGAGTCCATTGTAAACCTTGAACGAACTCCTTAAATTAAGTAATCGTTTTTGATCCTAGTCCGTGTTCATAATACCTGTGTAAAGAACACGAAACGACGTTTGGCCATACGAATTTGCCTCGCGAGAATGATAATGTTGGATATTAAGAAATCCAAATTTAGACCAATCGAATGATTCTCGATAAAGATCATTTTATAGAATCCTTAATATATTCGAATTACGTATTCAAAAGCAATTCTATCCACATTGAGAGGATTATTCTATCATCGAGTTAATGGAATAAAACGAGTTCGAGCAGCGGCACGATGCGCCGCAACAGCCGATTATGCTTCACGGTGATTAGCCGAGCGAGCTTTTCCTCCGAGCTTTGGTGCGCGCGCGCGTACTCTCGTTTCTCTCTCTCTCTCTCTCTCTCTCACATACTTCCTCTTTCTCCTCCTCTGCCATCCGTGTCCCTTTCTCCTTTCTGCTAGGCCTTCGATGCTGTCGTGGCAACGACGTGTGCCTGACTCTATGGAAAATCAGTTCGAAGAACGTGCCGACCAGAGACTACCGAGCAAACTCGCGTGCTCGCTAGCTTCTTATCGCCAATGCTAATTCCAAGAATACGAAATCCTTTTCGAGAATATGTTGGAACGGCGCAACGCACCACCGTCCTTTATTACGTTTTCGTCCGATGGAAAAATTCCATTTTTCATTTCAAACTCAGATCCCATCGCATTTCATTGCAATTGCTCGACTTAACGTAGAAAAGTTTAGTACGATGGTAACGTATCAACGTTTATTAGCTACAGCTAGTATGATCGCGTTAAATTGATAAATGACCCGTGACTTACCGCAACGCATTAGTTCGTGACCAGGCACATCAGCACCAACTCTTCGTCGTGCATCCCCCCATCGTTCGTTCGATCGAGTTTTCTCTTATTTCGCGACTTTTTATCGACTCGAGAATGTGCCAACGAGAAAGAGAAAGAATTACGTTAATGACAAATAAAAGTATAGACATTTTTCTCCTTTAAATTCCTTTGTTCGATATGAAAGGAAAAAAAAAAATAAATAAATAAGAAAAGAATTAGAAAAGATTGTTGCACGCAAAGACCGCGAAGACTTTTGTTCGCTTACGCGGCAATGATTTGCGAGGTAGAGAAAAAGAAACTCGTCACGAAGGACCTATAATAAAAATCGAGAGTCAGCGATTTAAGGAGAATATCTCCTAAATCTAGATTCATGCAGCGGTTTGGATCTACGTGACGACGTCGTAAAGTTGCACGAGCAACGTGCGTACGTGTCGTTCTAATAAAGTGAAAAGGAGGACGCAACCTCCCGGCGACCCTCATCGCTTTTTACGTCGGCTCGACTCACCATCTCCAGGGAAATATACCTTACAACGAATCTTCCTTTCATTTCCAAGAAATTTACTTCCTTTTCTTTCTCTTACATAATCTCCCAATCTTTTTTCGCGCTCGATTTCTCGTTCTTGGAACTTATCGAATAATACATTTTTTTACGAACCCTCCAAATTCTATAATACTCTTCATCTTCCTCTTCCTTCGACGTATTAACGTAACGATGACAAATCACGGGTGGTTATGATTTCCCGAATGAAACGCTTCGATGAAAATCAAAAGAGATTATACCCAAGGCTTACCGTTTTCTTCCCGCTGGAAAATTAGTTTCTGATCGTCCTTTCCTCCCCGCCCCTCTCTTTCTCTCTCTCTCTCTCTCTCTCTTATTTTCTAGTGTCTCCCTTCGTCTGGAAAGGACGAGAAGCGATTTCTTTACCCTCGCTAGAGTGGCACACGTCTTCCTCCATGTCCCTTGCTCGGAGCATTTACGACAGTCTTGACGAGAGAAAGGGAGAGAAAGAGAGAGAGAGAGAGAGAGAGAGAGAGAGAGTCATGCCTCCGAGGGCTGAAATGAAAAATGTGTCTCAGAGAGCAACGTTGTGTATGTAGAACCGCTGTTTGTGTGTGGCCCCTTTTTCTTGCGGATAGGCAAATTATTTCGATGGGGTGGCAGTGAAAGAGAGAGAGAGAGAGAGAGAGAGAGAAAGAAAAGAGGAAAATAAAGAAAGAAAGAGAGAATCGCGAACAGGCGCGTGCGCGCCTCTGCGTAGATTTTACATCCCTTGGGATTCTTTGTACCGAATCGAGTATTCTGCAAAACGGCTGCCTTCTCCGCGTTCGATGCGCATATCCCTGGTATATTTTGACGCGTTATCCTTCGTTCCCTCTCGTACACGCTCGAAACTCTTCCTGCTCGATGACAGATACGCATTAAGAAATGCATTTATCGCGTTTCGATATTACGTTTAACAATAAGCGTTTGAACATAATGATCACTCTGCGTTAGCTTATAATAAATATCTTATATCGGTTAATGCACATCCCTTCAACGCGGTCTAAATGTCGAAGGGAAAAAAAAATCTGATAATCGATCGGCGACCTTTAGTAGCAATCGATGCGTTTAATCGTTCACCTTGAAAGATTTTTTCCATTGTCGAACATAGTCGAACGGACCGACGATAGTCATCGGCCATCTTAACTTTTTTCGTCGTACCATAAACTTTTATCTCTTATCTCCCTTCTCTTATCTCCTTCCCATCGATCCGTTCTTGAAGCTTTCCACGAGAAATTACGCGTATTTGTGTCAAGCATGCACGTCGTCACATACGGACCATCTAGGATCGGCTCTTCCGAGCAAGCAGCCTCGTCCGCTCCGGAAGAATAATGACGCCCAATCATATCGGTAGACTTTCCTTCGCGTTGCCACCGATGCGCACACAAAGACCCAACTTTCGACTACTCGCTACGCTAACGAGACCCAGTTCCGAGTATCCCAGCAAACTGGATCGTTATCGTTCCCATTTTTTTCCCCTTCCCGTCCTCTTTTTATTCAGAAAACTTCGATAGGTCGATTGGATATTAAACGCTACGCGAAACTAAAAGTAGAATTCGTCGATATTTTTATTTTAATTTTAACCACATTCCGTTATTATCGTAAAATGCAAAATTGGACGAAGAATATAACGTTACAGTAGGCGCAATAGGAGTACTCTATGGCGTTGAAAAGTATCTCCATAAGAGAGACTATCTGAAAACATGTCGTAGGATGTAGGTAGGATGTCGATGAAATAATCGTAAATCGATCGTGTCTAGGAAGGAATGTAGAATTATAGTAGAATGCACTTGCTTTACTATTACCGCCACTAACGCAGGAAACGAGATATTCAAGGTCGTTGGAACGAAGCCCACGCGATTCCTCGAGGCGAAGGCTCCTGATACGCCTTTGAATTTCTCGGATCAAGATCCCCCGGATTAGTATCCATTTCCCTGAGGTAACTTGGCAGGGTCCTGATAGGATTTCTTTCGCGAAGTATTTTTGCACGAGGTAGACTATTGAAAACGCGAGACTAGTCCTTTCTCTCGTTCTCTTTCGTTTTGTCGTCACTTACGCGTACAAGAGCATCTAGAAGCGCAAAAGAAAGGTACCCGGTAAAAGGTGCCAGGACGATGCGCTCGTACGAAAGTAATTGGAATGCTAGGGGAAAATGTTTTAGGCGTTGTACTGCACTTTTTATCCGAAGAAACGTACCCTCGGGCAGAGGACAAACCCTTTATATACTTTTTCTCTCTCGGAAAGGATAACAAAGGAAAGCGTAATTCTAGCTTTGTTCCTTTTAATCCCTTCCTAATGCAGAGATCGTAGCGCCGTTCCAGTTAATGGCAATGGTGATGGTGTGGTGCCGACGTGGAGTACAGACACTTTCGTGTATATTTTAACCGCAGAATATAACCCCCGTCTACTTGCTCTACCCTCGTTGCGCTTCATGTAATTATACTCGAAGCTCGGGCGCTTTGTTCCAACGACGGAATCATCAAGAGCCCTTTGCGTTCGCGTTATTATACCGTGGCCACGTTACGTTTCCATATCTCCTTTGAGCTTTTTTCGGCTGGCTGCTGCGTTAACAGCTCGCAGTCTCTTGTCAAGGAGAAGTCGATTCCAAATGAATCCGTACAAGGTTCTCTAGACCTAGAGGGGAAGACGTAAACGAGATTCTCGGCGTGTCTTCCTATCTATATCTATGTACATACACATACGTATCTATGTCTCGGTTCTAAAATCGAATCGAACGTTTACTAACGAGAAAATCGATATCCGATGTTTCAGGTGTGAGCACCAGATCGCATTCCTTGGTGAAGAGGTTCGACGGGATTTACACGGGTCCGTATTTCGACTCGAACTCACCTACGAACATAACGGCGCAACTAGGCTCTCATGCGTATCTACCGTGCAAAGTACGACAGCTCGGTAACAAATCGGTAGGTCGACGTTGAGTATTCCATTTCTTTTTTTTTTTCTTTTTTTTTTTTTTTTTTTTTTTTGTTTTCTTTTCTTCTCTTTAACCTTGACAACTTCCCTCTGACTCTGACGTTAATTTGCGTCGTCTCGAAATGGCTTCGTGTGCTCGTCGAAAGAATGTATATACCGGTTATCGATCCATTTTCGACGTTCCGACGATTACCGATCTTTTTTCTTTTACTCGAGCGTCGAGCACACGGAAAAGCTTTTCTCGAGGCTCATTAATCGGGAACTCCCTAAAAACTTGCACTTAAGTGCGCGCGTTTTCAGGACATATCTCCGTTTCTTTTTCTTCTTTTTAAAAGCCGATCGACACAGACGTTTTAATTCTAAACATTTTTTCTCCTCTTTCTTTTTCTTTTTTTCCTTTCCCTCCGAGGCATGATCTGCAATGTGGCATAGCCACAAAGCGGCACAATTATTTTTCTCTTATCGACGTCGATCCTTATCGCGCGTAAACGCACGACACGCAACACGAAAAGCTTCGACCTTGCTTTGATTTTTCACGATGCGCAGGATAAAAATACTCTCTTCGGTCCACGCGCGTTGGCCGACTTAAAGTTCACAGTGGTAGAGAGGTGGCGCCTAACCGAGTAATACGTTTATATATTATACGAATATAACGATTATATAACGTATCTCGGAAAGTATGTGTCAGGTATAGTAAATGGTTCGTATAGTACTTGGTAAAGATAAAGAAGTAATGAAAGGACTCGCGGAATAAATCTTCGATCGAATAAGGAAATGATAATACGTATTATAATATCTTCGTAGGAAATTGATTCTGTTTCTTCGCTCAAAAGACCAAATTCGAGACATTGATACGATTATTTTTGAAGATCTCGTCGTTCGGACGAGACGAAACGAGAACGAGAGGAAAGACGATAAAAGTTTCTCGTGCCGAGAATAGAACGTCCCTCCCGTATTTCTCGTTAAAGAACTTTTAGACTCGCGAGCTTTGGTGTGTATTAACAAAGAGAAAAACGAGAGAGTTCTGCCAACGACGACAAAGCGTACGACGACACGCGACTCTCGTATAATCGTCTTGGAAAACGCGCGTTACTTTAAGGAATTTAAGGACCTTGCTCCGTGATACTACCGGATGCTTATCGTTCGAGAAATTAAATGTTCCTTCCCTTTGTGCCTTCCACGTAGATACGTATTTAAGTATGTATGTATGTACGACAGGTCCGAGTTATCGCGGCACGTAGACTCGCTTAAATATCCGGTCGATGGACGATACATTAAGATATGAAAAGGGTCGGAGAGAGGGTTGAGAGAGAAAGATCGATCGCGGCTACCTAACGACGAGGTTTCCTTCTTACCCTCCCTTATATTTATATTCTACCTTCTTCCTCGTTCCTTTTTCTTTTTTCTTTTTTCTTTTTTTTTTTTTTCTTTTTATTTTTTCGTACTGCCTCTTCAGAATAAATATATGAGCCAGGAGGTTACCGGGATGATTTGTGATCGTGACTGGCGAAGCGGAAACTTCCTTCGTTTCGACGAATTTTCTTTTTACTACTCGGACAGAGTATTTCCTGACAAGAGTAGAAAACGAAGGGAGTGATATAATATGACGATACGATGTATATACGAGCTTATTTTTAATCGAGTCAGGAATTTATCCATGACATTAAAATGCACGCTTCCTTTTTAACGTAGATCGATTGTTTCGTTTCTTCATTTGCTTTCTTTTTACACGTATATAGGTAGGTATTTATAAAAATAAGGAGTAATATTACCTTTCGAGTAATTAATTCGAATAAATTGATAAGGTCTCGTGGATCAGGAGAAGAGACTCGCACATACTATCCGTGGATAGGACCATGTTCATCCCCGACGAGAGGTTCCAGGCGATCTTCGCGGACGCGTCCGACACTTGGACGTTGCAAGTGAAATACGTCCAGGCACGGGACGAGGGCGAATACGAGTGCCAAATCTCGACGGATCCGAAGAAGAGCCACATTATCAAGCTCAACATCGTCGGTGAGCCTTGCCAAGTGGAACTCTCGAGCCTTTTACCTCTCTCGTGTTTTATTCCTTTCGAACGAATTTTTTCTTCTTCTCTTTTTCCTTTCTTTTTTTTTTCTTTTTTTTTTCTTTTTTTTTTTTACGAGCGGACTTACGAGCGATTAAGCGAACGAAAGTAAAGCGTTCGTTTAGCGCGACAGTATACTTTCGCTTTTCCTCGCCTTCCGTTCGATGAAAAAGTTTGCCGCGTTCGATCGTTAAGACGAACGCTAAACTTTTTTAACGCTCGAGGGATACCTCGACGATAATGATCGTAAAGGAAAATGAAAAAGGAAGAAAGGAAAGAATTGCTTAATAACTGATTTAACGGCAGGAGAGGGTGGAAATACGTTCGGTACCTTCTTGATATTTTAGTGCCAAAAATCGAGATCCTGGGAGACCGGGACATGTACGTGAAAACTGGAAGCACGGTCGCAATACGTTGCACGATAAAGCAATCTCTCGAGGGGCCGTTCTACGTCTTCTGGTATCACGAGGGCGATCGCGTTCTCAATTATCAGCAGGGTAAGATCGACATACAGACTAAAAGGATCGATCACGAAACGATTAGCAGTCTCGTGATTCGCAACGCCAGGCGAGAGGATTCCGGTAATTACACCTGCAGTCCGAGTAATTTGGACAGTGCCAGCGTGCAACTTCATGTTTTGAACGGTGAGTCGGCATTCGTTACTTTCTTTTTCTTTTTCTTATTTAGGAAGATTTACCAAATGAAAGCGTTTATTTTCAGGAGAACATCCGGCGGCGATCCAAAGGGGAATTAGCTCGGCTCCTTGCGGTTGTCATACGTTTTGGTGGTTCGTAGGAGTGGTCACGCTCTACTCGAGTCACGGAAGTCGAAACTACATCCTCGTCCTCCTGGCCGTCATGGTCCTTTACTCGAAAAATCCATCTTACTTCATGCCGGAACGATAATCAGGATCATCGGGAAGGACCAAGCACGAACGAGCGAGCGAGCTAGCGAGCGTGCGCGCGAGAATCGATTATCTTCGGCCATGAAACGCTTTGTCTCTTAACCTCACGTCGAAGGGATTTCTCGGGAAGGAAAGAGAGAGAGAGAGAGAGAGAGAGAGAGAGAGATAGGAATAAAGATTTCCATCGATCGTTCAATATCGAAAAGAAGCTTGAAAAGCGTTAAAGTTAGGATGTGACGAGAATTCGAGGAGAAGAGCAGGCTCGAGAGAATCGAAAACTTTTGTACGGACACGCGAAAGATGAAAAGAAACGAAGACGAGAATCGACGAGTTCGAAGAAGAACGATCATCGTTTCTATCGTTTCGTCGCTGAAGACTGACCGCTCACTTTTTCTTTTTTTTTTTGCAAGCGAGCCGAAAGGATAATCGGAGATTGAGAGATATTAATTGTTGATCGTTCGTTGAAGTGGCGATTCATTTGGAGAATAATGGTCTAAAAAAAAAGAGAAACAGGGAAAAACATAGAAAAAGAAAAGGGGTAGAAAAGAGCAAACAATCTTGGTACCGAGATATTGCATATTTATAGAGTAACCCTTTCAAGTTACAGTCTTGTCAATCTATCAGCAATATCAAGGTCCAAAATTCTTTCCGCGGGATGAAATTCTAAAATTATTAGAGATGCATTTCGTCTATCGAGACAGTATGATCCGGCCGTTAGTATCTTAGGTATTAGATAACTCGTGACGATTTTTCGTTGGATTCGCACGAGTTTCTTGAGCAGGCCGTGACTTCTCACGGGCCGGCTACCTTGTATACGAGGACGTATTACGCGAGGATCGTGGCCAATTTCATTATTTCAATAAACTACGGACGGACTATAAGCCTACGTTCTATTTTTAAAAAGAAAATGAACGAAGAAAAAAGCCAAATTCAGCAACGAAAAATTATATATCCGCGAAGCGTACCGATGGCACAACGATCATTATTATTTCCTTTGCTTTAGACACTATATTTATCACGATCTTCCCGTTTTCGTGCTCTTGTCTTTGTCGAGAAAGTTCAAAGAAATATAAAAAAAAAAAAAAAGAAAAAAGAAAAAAAAAGAAGCAGTATAAAGATCTCGATAACGAGATGCCCCCCTCCCCCAACACCGATAATCGATGATCGCGCGTCACTAGAACGATCGTGGAGGTCCTGTCGAGGTCATCGAAGGGTTTCGTAGTTTCTGTTAATTACCGACCAGATCAAGTCACGAGTCGGCGGTAGTTAACGATGGAAGGATAACGTGAAATAATGCGAAAGAATGCAAAAGAGAGAGAGAGAGAGAGAGAGAAACAAACAGAGAATGATGTAAGACAAAAGAAACTTCGTCCACGGCACTCGAAAGAATTGAAACTTGTTCGATGAAACTTGTAAAGACAATGTGATTAATTATATTTCCATAGCGATCGATTAGCAAAGCGTGTCTATACTCGACGTCCATACCGTTTTCATTCCAGGATAGTAGCGAGAGAACGTAGCGACTACAAACCTTTTTACTTGCTTTCCTTTTTTGTTTTCTTTAGCAATCGGGCCGAGAAAATTCTCCCTCCGTCTTCGATGATGGATTAGACGTAACGCCAAAAACGTCGAACGAGTCGAACCATCCTACGGCGAGATCTTTTTTATCCGAGAGCGAAATCGATTTATCGATACGAAAACGACGAGCACCTCTAATTAACCAAAAAAGAAAAACGTTCATATCAAATGTCGATGTCGACCCTTCATATCAGATCTTTTTCCGAGATCGTTTTCGTGATCTTCGCTCGAAGCTAATCAAAGTCGACGAGATCGAAAAGTTCGTGGCGTTTAATTAAAGTCATCATATAATTAATCTTTTTCATTGAAAAAAAAATTCCTTGAAAAGAAAAGCGTTTTAATTTCTTTCTCTGTTCTCGGACGAAGATTTATCGTAAAGACTTAGCGTGCAGGACGGAGGAAGATGAAAAAAAAAGAAAATAGAAAATGAAATGATTCTCTCTCGTATCGATCCATGAGAATGTGATGGTCGGTAAAAAAAGCGCATTGAGTATAAACACGAAACATCGAAATGTGTCATGTAACCGTGCGTGCGTGCGTGCGATTTTAGTAGTATAAAGGGTGTCAAATGTCTTGCTTTTTTCTTTTCTTTCTTTTCTCTTTTTTCTCTTTTTTTCTCGTTTGATTATTATCATTTAACAATCGATTCGTTGATGGAATGAGAAAAGAAAGAAACGGTTTTCATCTTGTATCTCGCGATCCGCACGGACGGCTACTACAATAACAAGGACGGATATACAGCTTTTTGAGAAGAGGGCTTTCTTTCTGTCGATTGAGCCCTTTCGTGAGTTTCCTTTACTTCTCGCGAGTATTAGAAAGAGTACTGTTATTTATAATATTATATATATATATATATATATATAAATGAATATATATATCTATATATATATATAGGTATCTATATATATACAAACGGAGCAGATAAATATATATATATATATATGTATGTATATGTATATGTGTACGCGCGCAAATACGTTGCACAATGGTGTTGAGTATTGAACAAGTTTCAGCTCGTCGAGTAAAGGAGAGACGTAGATCCAACGGAAAGTTACGATCCCTTCGACGAAGAGAGGGCATCGTCGTGAAAGTGTCACGAGAAGATCGTAGGGTGTCGGCTGATGTATTTAAGTAGCGTGTAACGAAGGAAAAGGCGAGTGAAGAAAAATATTCAGTAAGAAAAAGAGAGAGAGAAACGAACGATACGTATAGAATATCTACGATTCATGTGATTGTAAATACATAGTACATAAATAACGTAACGTTAACTAACGATATGCCGTACGTGTTACACTAAAGAAACAAAAAAAAAAAGATAAATAACGTTACTGTGTAATTTTTTGGATCGTAAATGCATTGGAATGGGTCTGGCCGCCTGTGCTAACCGGTTTGATGTAATCGTGTAAAAGAAAGGGAAAGATAAAATTACAAGATGTAAAGAAAGAAATAGAGAGAGAGAGAGAGAGAGAGAGAGAGAGAGAGAGAGAGAAATTTCCCGTCGGAACAATAGCAATTTCAATCTTTCATAAAATCGCGTAACAATAGTAAAAATCATAAGAATTTTGATTACGCGCGGTAGTCCATTCTTGTGAATTTTGTTTTCTTCCACGAGTCGTGTTCCGTGCGGTTGATCTCTCGACGATACGAATTTCTCGCGATAAAGAGATAGTGAAGGTGGCACACATTTGCGCGCATGTTTCTTCGTGTGCGCGATTGCGTCAGAGAGAGAGAGAGGGAGGAAGGGAGGGTGAAGAAAGGACGAGAACGGTAGGACGCGTTTATCCTCAATCGGATAAAAAGGGTCCGAGGATAGCACGGGCCGGCCACACGCGACTAGATGTAACACTAATTAACGCCTAGCGTAAGACTTAAACGGATATAAATGAAGATATATTGTCTGATATAATAAGATGAGAGCGTGCGCGAGTGCCTCTGCGAGCGAGTGCGTGTACTTGCGTGCTTGAATGGGTGAATGTCTTGCGTACAAGAGGAATAAAAAAAATGAGTAAACGTGTCGTGAATAAGCGTGCGTTCGTTGAATGTGCAAACGAACGGTTGAAAGATAGATAAGGAGAGAAAGATAGAGAGAGAGAGAGAGAGAGAGAGAGAGAGAGAGAGAGAGAGAGAGAGATAGCGAGAGGTTCGTTGGACTGACGCGACAAGGCGTTGGTCGAATGACGCACTTTCGAATAAAAAGGGGCGACTGGGGACAACTTCTTGTATCTTCTTTTCCTTCTTCCCGCGCCTCGCGAGGCCACTCTTCGTAGACTTTGGAGATAAAAGAAATAGAGAGGAGGAGGAGGTGGTAGCAGCAACAGCACCTCGAGGCCACAATTAAAACACGCGCAGCTCCGTTTCGCGTTTTTCGCGCGGCCTCCCCTCGCCGGGTGGAAGAAGGAAACTCATGATGTGCTCGTCCTCGTCGCTCCTTTGTTAACGACGAAGAAGAAATGAAAGCATGTGTGTAAGAGAGCAAGCGAGCGAACGAGAGAGAGAGAGAGAGAGAAACACGAGATAACGCGAAATGAGATGGTAACGGCGAAGAGGAGAAATAAATAAACACACATGTACGCATACACGATACACAGAGATACACGTAAACATACATACAAACAACACATGTCGTCTAGGGTACATAAACTATAACGTCGTAGGCAGCATTGAATTTTTGTACCAACGTCTATTGTAGCTCTTAAGTGTCGCGAATTCTTACGTTCTCGTACGACGACGGTGAAGCCACCGCCGTTCGTTGGTTTTTTCGTTTTCTCGATGAAGCCAAAGCGGGCAGCGGACTCGGAAGAGGCAGAAGATGCGCTTTTTTCATCGATCGAAATTAATCGACTAACTTTTATAAACATCTTCTTATCGGCGTTCCAAAAGTCAATTTATTTTCGAACGATCCATAGACCTGTTTCGAGAAGGATCGATCGATCGAAAAACGTTGAAAGCCCTCGATCCGCTCCCCTTGGTCCAATCGACCAAGATCCACGTCGATTCCCGAGAGTCGCGGTACGAATTTCGAGAGAAAGAAAGAGAGAGCGAGAGAGAGAGAGAGAGAGAGAGAGAGAGAGAGAGAGAGAGAGAGAGAGAGAGAGAGTTAGGAGTAAGAGAGCAATTTAATTCGAGCGACGCTTGACCGTCCTAAAAGTTCGTCTATGTGCTCTTACGCGTCTATAGTCGTGTTAAAACTTTTGTGATAGCGTTAACGAGTCGAATCAGCGCGTAAGATTCGATCGTGATGGTTGAACGAATGAGAAGAAAATTGATCGGTAGCCCGGAACGATCAAAAAAAGAAAAAAGAAAAAAAAAAAGAAAAGAAGGAAGAGGGAAGGAGGAGAGAATAGCGAAAACGGCACTCGGAGGAGAAAGAATTTCGAAATTGGGTTGCCGAGAAAAGATTTTAGCGTTGAACATAGAATAGGAGAACGAATCTCCGCTTCGGCGCGAGACAAATTTTTTGTCCACGTCAGAAGATTCGAAGTACACGAGCGATTTTGACAACTTTTTTCTCTTCCATCTCTACACGATTTATATTTCGTGAGAATGAGAAATATTTCGCCGTATAAACTTCGACGTTGATTCGACCGTAGGGAATACGTTTTATGATCCAATTTGGGATCGTTTGCCGGTAATAGTGCTCTTTCCTTTGCGCGTGTAACCCGATCGCTGAAAGTACGTTTGGCTGCCAAGGATCGGATGGAAGATGAGACTCGTAGTAGACTTTCGTTATCGATCGAAACCCTCGGGACGACAAAACGATTTTTCTTGCGTTTCCTCGAGATGAAACGCAAGAAGAATCAAAAAAGATCGAAGCTCCTGGGAACAATAGGGTCTCGAGGAATGGAAAAGAAAGAAACTCGAAAGTGGGATACCCCGTCAGGAACTTCGATCTGAAATTGTTTATCGAACGAGCGATTGATTATTTCTCAAGAGTCCTCCGATATAACGATCGTCACGTTAACAATACGCGGCAAACACACGTAGCGAAGGGTCTAATTAATCGTTAATACGTCATATCTGCCAATTCGAACGTTCGACGAAATATACGATGCGGAGAAATCAAGAGGGAATATAAAAGAGATAAGGTCACTTTGTCGAGCGAGCGAATGAGCGGAAGTCGTCGAATAAAAATAAAGAAAAAAGAGAAAAAAAGAGAGAGAGAAAGAGAGAGAGAGAGTGGGGGGGGGAAACAAGAGAGATACGAAGAGGAAAACATTGAGAAAAAAAATTATTCCTCGAAGAAAGCCTCGTCTCGTGGATTCTAATTCGTACACCTTACGCGCTTTATGGTTTAACGAGAATAAACTTTAAAGGATCTACGAGATGATGCCGAGGACTGCGAAAAAGAGGACGAAAGAAGAATGAGCGTGAGAGAGCGGCGTGAAAGTCGGGAGTGCCTGGCGGAATGGCTGAGCAAGAAAAATAATAAAGGAAAAAAAAAGAAGAAAAAAAAAAAAGAAATCAATGTTAAAACCGATCATTATCGATTCGCAAGTTTAAAAGAAAAAAAAAGAAAAAAAAAAAAAAAAAGAAAAAAAAAGAAGAAAAAAAAAAGAAAACAGGTCTTCGTTATCCGCCATTTTCACACGTATATAAGTTCTGAATCTCGTTTTGTACAGGTGTGGGCGATACGCTCCTAGGGCATCGCACTCTTTAATCATCTTTCAGTTTCATTTTGTACTTCGAAACCCAGACGAATTTATTTCTCTTTTTACTTTGATCTGTATAACGATGAAATTATCTGGGTATCAAGAAAGAACAGTTCGAAACGGTGCCCTTGGAGCAAGCTCCACGTTGAGGTACGCTATACATACAAATTTGAACCTTTCCGTTTTCGATCTATCGTGGCAAAGGGAGAAGAAAGAACTGCCCCGTTCTATGTGTGTAAGAACCATAAAGCTTAATGAAGAACATTATACTATGAACTTACGGGATACTAAATAAAAGTAAGCCAAACCGTTGAGGGACTTTTTACTTATTTATGTTTTTTTCTCACGTTCTCTAGATTCACCTTTGAAACTTTTTTCCCCAAGAGTATTTAGAACTTACAGGGGGGGGGGGGGGGAGGGAGATTTTGTTTTCGACTCAGCGTGTACGCGTAATCGTTATCGTATTCAAATGCACATTTATTACTCCCATTTCGACGTTACTATAAATATTACATGGAATGATAATACATTCAGTTTTCTGAAATAAATTGAATTTTTTCTTGATGCAATCGGACCACGTATCCTTCTTATCACGAAAGCAGCAGCACCGATACAAGTACACTGTTCATTCGGACTTTTTATTCTTATCACGAGTTTTCATACATTTCAAAATAATTCTTTGGAATGAGATGAGATAGAATGCGCTTATCAGTCTGCTGAGACCCATTAATGTTATTTGCATTAATAGCTCCAAAATCGAGGTGAACGGAGACATCCCACAAGAAACTATACACAAAAGGAATCCTTCCATACCAACGGTTGAAAAAAATTTGCCATCCTGCAAAAACCAAATGATATGAGCGTTTCATCATTGACAGGTAACGAGTATTCATTTAAGCTTACCAAGGCATCTTTGAATAATTGATCCGCAATTACATTGGGTTTGACTAAACCTGATGATTGAGAAATCAATTTTGTTTCCAGCAGCTTTGACAGTTCTTCCTCAGCAAAACCAGGTGTATCGGTGTCAGGAGGTAAGCAGAGAGTCACAGAAATATTGTGCGAACCAAGTTCCATGGCCAAACTCTCTGCCAAACCACGCAGTGCAAATTTGACGCCGCAATAAGCTGAATAACCATAGATACCTAGAAAAATATAACATATATAACAAATCTGATCTAACATATTTATTGCCACGGTAGCATGTCTGAGCATTTAAGAATACTACCTATAAAACCAGCTTGAGATGACGTTAATACGATGATCCCATCTCTAGCAGTTTTCATATTTTGCACGATGGCTTTGATGCAATAATAAGTACCAAGAAAATTCAAGTCAATCATTTTGCGTACATCAGAAGTGGATGTATCTTCGATTTTAGCACAGACAGCAGAGCCAGCACAATTTACTAGCATATATATGGGACCCATGGTCTTCTCGAGTTCCATAAATGCCTTTTGTAACTCCTCGTAGCTTTCAGTTACATCAAGTGATAAATACTCCACCCGCTGAGTGTCCTTATTCTTACAAGCTTGCATTATCTCGTATTTAGCCTTTTCTAATCTTTCTACATTACGGGCTATGATAGTTACGTGTGCTCCATGCTTAGCAGCGACGACTGCTACAGATTTTCCAATTCCACTGGAACCACCAGTTATCTGAAAAATTGTAATATAATATAATACCATTTTCACAACACAGACGAATGAGGTTATATTTAAAAAGAGAACTCACCACGACATGTTTATTTTCCACGCTTCTTAGACGGCCACGATAAAATACTAATTTAATTATCAAGCCGATGATTAACAAAACAATAACGGCTATTATAAGATTAATTGATAATGTCATCTTTAAATGATTGATTGTCATTACATTTCTAACGATACACTGGCTGCGTCTTCGCAGAGCGAGCTTCGCAATGATGAAAGCAGCGTACGATTTCAATTGAATACACTTTCTTAAACTCTATATTTTGTGACCGTATTTTTCATCATGAAAAAACTTTGCATAACCTATATTTTTTGAATAGAGATATAAAATGATCTGTCGAGCAAATAATAAAAACCTTTCCAAAAACATTCGGTAGTGTATTAACCCTATTGTATTATTAGAAGAAACGAACTGTTTCACTATTCCCTGACTTTTATAATGATTTTTGTGCCATCAAGCGAGAACATGCGTAATTCATGAACAATTTTGATTTGAACAAAGTCTCATTTCAAAGACAAAGGTTTCATTCAATGAAATTGAAAAAACTTTATTATCTTTGAAAAAGATCCTATTAAAGAATGGTATCTTGCGAGAATAGTTTATGCACAAGTAAAAAGCTTTTTCTACAATTGTAAGTACAATTGTTTAAACAATTAAAAATACATACGTGTATGAATTACCTTTTATAGATTTTTTTTTTTCACACATCTTATTGAACTAAACTTCGTAATCTTGAATTGATGTCGATTGAAATGAAACTTTCCTTTACAATTAACATTAATGACACTAATTATTTAAATTATTAATTATCTCGATTGACATTATCTCATATAAACTATAATTCTATTTCCCACTATTTGATCCATCTTATTAGATTAGACTTTTGCCGCTCATTTTTCAAATAAGATCTTAAATGCGTCAAATCTAATAGGCGTATTTTTATTATGTTAAAAAAAAAATGGCGACTGGCGAGCAAATATGTCGAAAAGGAATAGGACGAATGACGACGTTCGATAGAAAATCTTCCAACGGTTGCAAAGCTCCTTGTTCCATTGAACGCAGCCATTGGCTATTTCCGTGCTCGTTAATACTGTTAAAAATGCTAATAATACTGACGGTCGTATATAGAAATATTCAACTAACCTTCATTACCGACCGAGCAACGAGATCGATCGACTAACAAGTTTGAAAAATCATCGCATTCGAATCATTTGTTTTTTATTTTTAGAAATATTCTCTATCAAAGATATTTAATCATGTTTCGCATCGTTATATATAGAATTTTACCATTCGATTATTTTTAGTTCATTTACGTTCGAGGATACTGACAAGTGGCGCTATACAGGGAAGCTCTTTCTTCGTTTACCGCGTCGATAAAAATGTTTCTCATCGATTAGAAAATACGTCGTTAATTAGACAAGTGAAAAATATTTTACGAATTAAGTAATCGTTTGGTCGTTAAAAAAACTAACGATTCTATTTAAAAGATTAAACAATTAATCTTTCATATATTATCGTTAATGAAGATTTATCCAAAAAGTGACGGTAAAGCGCCATCGTGGTATAAAACTGACAAACGATAACGATAGACTTCAAACTGACAATTCAGAACCAGTTTCAACGAGAATCAAAACGTTTCAAAGATCGTTGGTATAACGGATAATTATAACGGGGAATGCTCGATCGAAGCTGAAATTTCTTTAAAGAAATGTATTTGCTCGAGGATCGTGATGGACGATCGATCGATTTTTCAAGTTTTCTTTCTTGAGAAGATTCGCATGGATCTCTTACGCGAGAGAACTTTATAGAATAGGTTATCAATTAGTCACTTTGAGTACGTTAATAGTTTGGCGCGCGCGTAAGCGGGTGAGAGAACGGAGCGGAAAGGGTGGAATGGAAAGAGGGAGGAGAAAGGGTGAGTACGCTCTACGTGCATTCACCCTCCGTTACCGTGGCGCAAACTCTACCCGCTCTCGCCCCCGCCATTATCCTTCGTGCAAAAGGTCACGTACCACCGCCCTCTCGATCGTTCACCTCGTCCTGGGACTCGCGCTACCGGCAGGTTAAAGTGGAAGGTACGAATAACGCGTTGAATCCTTTCTTCCCTCTTTAGGATCCTTTTTTTTTTTATATTTCTTCGAGAGTATACATTAACGAATAATAATCATATCGTTGATATTACGTTTCATTTTCCAGCTACATTATCTCGAATCTCTCAAACGTTCATAGTTCAACGGACAATACTTCATCGAGAATTATTTGGAGTACGTCGAGAAGCAAGAATGCCTGTCTAGATATCTGTGTATACATTAGGTATATCCGTTAGCAGGTAAATCGATAAAAGTTGAGGACTAAACGAGAATAGACAATCCATGTCGGCAGAAGAGGCATTAAAATTTTACGTTAGAAACGTAATTGAGAGAGAGAGAGAGAGAGAGAGAAGGAGGTAGGAGGAGATGAAAAGCAAGTAAAAGCAACCCTCTTGGCAGAGCCGCTGAGTCCACATTCCCCTCTGCGATTTCACGCGGAATGTTTTCGCATACCGAAGACGTTAAATCGTACGGAAAATTCAACGCGACATCGGATGGTCGTTGCAACGCGCGAGAGCGAGCAAAATAGAGAGAAACATAGAGAAAGAGAAAGAAAGAGAGAGAGAGAGAGAACTAGAGAGAGGTAGCTTCTCCGGGTGGTAGCATCGAGCCTCGCAGTCTGCAGGATCCGCAGTCCGGAACTGTGATTTCGGACGGAGGGAGAGAGAAAGCAAGCTGCGAACGAGAGGTAAGCTCGGAGTACTAGAAAGAGGGAAAGAGAGAACGTACGTTGCACCCAAGCGAAGGGAGTGTCCCGTGCAGTCCATCCCCGCCGCCCTCTGCCAGCACCCTGTCGGTGATACCATAGCTACGACCCTGGATTCCATGTCTCCCGGGCTGCACCAGGGGGTGAACGCCCTCGCCTGACCCAGACTCAGAATCGATCTCCATTCGTTGCACGCTTGGCAAACCCTCCTGTCCACCCTCCCACTTCCACCCATCTTCGGCCACCCACCGTGCACTGCCTGCTCGGAAAGAGGCAACTTTTTTTTTCTTCCACCTTTCTCTCTCTCTCCCTCTCTCTCTCTCTCTCTCTCTCTTTCTCTCTCTTTCTCTCTTCATCTATCTCGACTCTTCCTCTCATGGATTTTCCTCCACGGATACGTCGCTCGTGATTTTAGAAAAAGTGTCAACGAGGCCGAGAGCAACCGAGTCTTGAAAGATCCTGCTAGCTCTAGGCTACTTTGTACTTTTCCAAATTACAAACACGAGACTTTGAACATACTCGGTTTTCAAGCAAAAATCACCCGGGACTGTATACATAGCTCTATATATATATATATATATATGAAATAGGATATCGTCATAATAAAATGATTTAATTTCGTGTTAGTCAAGACGCTTCGACGTTACAGAAAGCATTTCGATAAATCATCTGGGATAAGTCAAGCGGTTTTATTGAGACTCAAAGAACCGCTCTAGAAATCGAAGGATGGAAGGATTATCGAATTTGCAGTTGCTTCGGTTTCTCTTTCTCTCTCTCTCTCTCTCTCTCTCTCTCTCTCTCTCTCTCTCTCTTCGTTTTTCATCTCGTCGTCCGACTAACGATTTCCAAGCTCGATGAAAGTCAGCTGAGAGAGCAGGGGTGCATGGAGCGCATAAGCGAGCGCTACACGACTCGAGTCGCATTCTTCTCCTACACTTTCTCGCAATCTTGAGGGCGTTACGCAAAGTCCAACGGACTTTTTTAACGACCCGTTCTCGAGAACGTTCAACGTTTCCAGGCGAGAGGGTGAGCGAGAGAGGGAGCACATTAACGTACCCCCTTCGAACATTATACCTAACACAGTACCGTCTGTAAGACATCGTTCTCTTCAACGCTCTCGAGAATATTACGAGGCAAAGCGCAACAAAAATATATTCGACGGATTCCGTCCCTTCTCGATATCTCCGATCGAAACACGCTACAACGTCGACGATGACGTGCCGACGGGGCCAGAGGTGAAGGACCCCGTTCGATATTTTTATTCTCGAGTTTTATAACTCGAGTTGCGAGTAAATTTTTTGTTGAACTTTTTTAAAAGATAATATGCTAAATTCCTAGCTCGCGACAATGAGCATATATGTAGGCGTATAAAATTTCTAAAGAAAAGTATAGTACGTACGTTTGACTGCAATATTATTAAAATTACTGCAATATTATTAAGAGATACAAATGCAAGTGGAAAATGTATACAAGGCATTGTACGTTCCCTCTCGCGTTCGTTTCCCCAAAAGGGAGTCACAATTTTGATACAAAGTGAATTCAGTTTCTATGCTTTCTCGGTAAAGGAGCTCGAACCTCGGCAGAATTATTTCGAGGAAACGCGCCGTATCTCAACGGCAAAGAAGCGATACTTGTCTTCCAACTGTGAAAACGAGGTCATTTCGTAGCAACCCTCCTCCGTCCGTTCGTACGTCCCCCATCGATGCATCCCCCTCGCTCTCAAGCTCTACCCCCACTCTTTTCCGCTCGGAGATATGTCAACGCTTTTGCGGAACAATCGGTAGAATAGTTCAGTGCACCAACGGAGAGTTCGTAGAACTCCTCGCTCACGGTTGCGCATTCGCCGTGCGTCGCGCTCTCCTCGATTCCCTTCGAACGAACTACCCGATCACAAACTTTCAACTTTTCTCTCATTTATACGATCTACGAAAAGTGGACAATAAAAAATTTCGACGTGACAACTACGATAGAATTTAAACTGACATTTCTTTTCCTTTTCTTTTCTTTCTTTTTCTTTTTCTTTCTTTTTTTCTTTTTTTCTTTTTTTTTTATATACATATAAAACGAACTTGGAAATGTAGAGATCCTATTGCCCGACGTTCTTACAAATTAGAATAGATGCCATAAAAATTAGTTTATTTTGATTTCACACGGGACAACGCTCTCAACTATAAAATAACGTTGTAATCATAAAAGTTAATGGAATTGAAAAAGTTATGGGGAAGTAAACTTTTTCATTTCCCAACTCGCGACGCACTTTTCTACTACCTCATTTGAATCCCCTTTCTTCGGTTCTATCTTCAAGGCGAGACAAAATTATGCGCCTTCTAATAGATATGCGTTCGTGCTAAAGTAAACGATCTCCGTAATTATTTATTCGTCTAGTAATTGGAAGCCGACGATCTCGCAGTCGACGGTACTCGCAAACGGAACTTGCAAGCGACTCGACGCGGCCCCGCCTATAATTCGCATGCGCCTATGTACCAGACATCGGTGCTCTTGGAAATGCAGCTAGATCAATAATAAAGATATACGGATTCGATCGTAATTTAGATCGATATATATTCTATGATCGAATCTCCCTCTTAAAAAAGAGAAAAATAAAAGAAGAAGCAAACACTTTCGATGTCTATCCTTTTATTTTCTTTAGTAAATTTTTATACGACACTATTTACGAGAGTAATTTTAATAACTATGAGAAGTAGTTTACAGTTGTCATTATTTATCGATCGCTTTTTCGACCAAAATCGAACCGATAGGAAGATATCGTAGCATCGACGTTTAATCACGAGAGGAGACAAAGTAGAATTTCGATCGAGTCGGAAATCGTGGCCGGGAAGGGAAAAGGGCGTGGGCAATGTTTTGTTGGAGAATGGTGAGAAAGAGAGAGAGAGAGAGAGAGAGAGAGAGAGAGAGAGAGAGAGAGAAAGAGAGAAAGAAAGGGGGGAAGAGAGAAGAAGGGGCAGAACGGAAGAAAGGAAAGTACCGAGACGAGTAAGAGAGGAAGAGGGTCTGGTGCTTCAGGGTGGCGTTGACGGTGGTGGCTTCGATGGTAGCTTCGGTGGTGGTGTTGTCG